CGCTAAACCTCCAGCTTCAGGGACGGGGATAGACATGTGTGATGCAGTAAGAGTCTCCACCGCTGTGTTCCCGACTGCACATTTTGCTGACAAACTGGGTGCACTTGGCACAGAGATCACTCGGCGATTTGCTGACTTTGCAGCTCAGAAATTTAAATTTGAACTGCTCAGCAATCTGTTTGCAGTTGACGTGGAAAGAGCACCTGTGGAGCTGATAGACCTCCAGTGTAATGACACACTCAAGACAAAGTATGACTCTGTTGGCGCTGCACAGTTTCCAAGCTTCATCCCCGAAACGATGCCTTAACTCCGCCTACATGCTGCTCAAACACTCTGCATGGTTGGAAGCACATACCTGTGTGAGCAGCTTTTCTCTGTGATAAAGATGAACAAAAACCCACACACGAGTCATCTCACTGATGCACACCTTCACTCCATCGTGAGGGTTTCCACAGAACCTAACTCCAGACATTAATGAACTGGCAGCCAAGAAAAGATGCCAAACATCTGGCTCTGGTACATATGCATAAAATAATGTAGCCTACCTAAACATGTATTCCTTTTGCACTTTGTCCAATATCCCTTCTATCCTGTTTATTAAAAATGGTGACTCTATTTGGCCCTCAATGTAGTCCCAATTTCTTATTTTGGACCTCTCTGTGATTGAGTTTGACACCCCTGGCATATACTGTATGCTGTATTATGCTAAAAGGTGTCATTTTGTAACCTTTTTGGTTGTTGGTGTGTTGCGGGATCGTTTTAATGTAAAAAATGTGCTGCGGCTTAGAAAAGGTTGAAAAACACTGGCCTAGCCAAATTTCTACTACATACAGAGCCCCACCTGTTTGTGAGAAAAATACAGCTATTTCAAAGGTGTTAAATTAGTTGTTAAGGCCATACCCTCAAGACCAATCATAAAGTTTTGTGTTCATTATTGCAAGTATTTATGATTTGCATTACCTAATCTTTAACATATTTGAGATCAGCCTATATACATATTGTTTTAAATGCATTATATATAAATTACATTTTTACTGATTGGACTGTAAGAAATCAAGAAAATAATGAAAACCAATGTATGAGATTAAATTAACATTATAGTCAGAATTAATCATTATTTGAGTTGAATGATCAATTCAAGTTGCTATGTTGGTTGGTCCAACCCAGTGGTTTGTTGAAAACTACCCGAAATCGGTTGTGAAATTCACCCATCCCCGAGTTCACAACCAGTAAGAACGTTTGGAGTTTAATGGCGTAATTAGTAATGCCAGCGCTATATATTTTGTTGTCCTTGTATGTAATAGTGAACATAATCCCTAATTCTTGTCAATTTAACACACATACAGTATATTAAATCAGTACTATATAATACTTAAATATTCAAAATGTTGTTGCACCCTTAACAATAGTCTGAAGTCTGCTGTTCACTTAGTATGCACATAATGACACTTGTGTTCTGTCAGTGGATACACATCCATACAGACTCCCTCAGCAGCTTTTCTCAGGAGAGCTGTGGATTCATCCTTCAGCTAGGTGAGATAGGAGGCAGTTGATATGATCTATGAAGGGCCACGTGAAGACCACACTCCCCTTTCCATTTAACGCCTGAATAAAGATATACCCACTGTGATAAAAGCGACCAGGCATCTCGCCAGACGTGCTGTCAGCGAAGGAGACAAGCTGACAATTACCAGGCCTATCTGCAGTGTAATCACTGAGCTCTACATTGTCCTTTTGGCTTTTTCCATATTTCTTGCTTTTGATTTGTGCCTGAACGTTATGCAAAGCATACTTCCAATGCTGTTTTGTATGATACATGCTGATGGGAAAATGTTTGTCACTTGCTGCCCTATATTTGTCACAGATATTGGTTGAACCACATAAAGTCAAGGTCACCTTCCGAGCATCTCAGGTCAACATTTCTGACTTCACCAGAGTGTTGATTATTATGTTTTTTGCTCTCTCGGAAATCCATGAGTTTAAGTGCAAACCAGCCCTTGAACTGTGCAAGTAATAACACCTTCATAACAAATTGTAAGTGCAAATAGCTTCAGATGTTAAATTATTCCAAGGAGGCTGGCACTCCTGCGCCCTGAAGCCCTTTTTATAAAATAGGAGCATTATCTGATCTGAAATTGGAGAACTCTCCCCGTTTTGGTTTCTCACTGGCTGATGACTTTGCACGGTGTGGTAACAATAATGGCTGCCGCTCTGAATGGATAAACTCTGTGCAAAGCCTTTACGCCACTTTTGAAATGATCCAGTATAATGTGGGTAACTGCTGTTGTAAAGTGTTAGCCAGTTGGGTGCAATTTTTGATGTGAATGGCCATGACTGCAAATACACATTATGTAAATAGTAACATTTACATATGATTTACATATGTATGTCTCTGGCAAGCAGAGAGAGGCTCAGGTTTAGATCAGCCTTCTTCTCATTTTATATGGTTGGTAAACATCACTTTCTGATATGGTCATTCTTGGCACTCTGTTCTTCTCTGGACAATCCCTTAGTGAATCAGAATCCAATTTATACATTTAATGGTCAAGTGTGGTCAAGCATACAAGAAATTGAACTCTGGTGAACTTGGTTCTTTGCAATTTTTTGCAACACACTTCTTGCAAAACACCTTACAGTGTTTCTTACATTAGACACATATGTTGAAAAAAACACTTTGATTGGAAATAAAAAACATGCCTGGGTACACCACATGCTCTGTGAGAGACATGTAGAGAATACAATGTTGGTATTGCCTTGTTTAATTACCATTGCAACAGGAAATTAATCAATGAATGACTGACCACAGACGTCAGGGCGACGGGCCTGTAGTCATTTAATCCTGTGATGGAGGATTTCTTGGGGACCGGGATGATTGTGGAGCGTTTGAAGCAGGAGGGGACTTCACACAGTTATCGGTTGAAGATCTGCGTCCAAAGATCCAAACTGACGCAGGGTCGTTGCCTGAACTTGTTTTCCAACTTTTCAGTGTAGCTCCTCTTTGCTACCTTGATCTCCCTCGTCAGTGTTTCTGGTCTGATTGTACAGGATTCTGTCCCCACTTCTGTAGGCCTCCTCTTTAGCCTGACAAAGCTGCCTGAGTCTTGCAGTAAACCAGGGTTTATTGTTGTTGTATGTGCAGAAGGTTTTAGTCGGCACACACATGTCCTCACAAAAACTGATATGATGTCACAGTGTCAGTGAGCTCATCCAGGTCTGTAGCAGCAGCCTCAAAAACACTCCAATCAGTGCAGACAAAACAGGACTGTAACTCCAGCTTTGCCTCGTTTTGCCTCCATCGCCTCGCAGACTTCACCACAGGCTTTGCAGATGAATGTTGCACACTATATACAGTACATGTATATATCTGGCGACTCCATACTGGGCCACTTGTTAATGTATTTACGCAGATCTGGAAAGTCAATTTGTTTGGGTTGTGTAGCATGAACGGGTCCTGGCCAACGGAAAGATGGGCAGGATCGCACCTAACACGGTGGTAACTCAGTCAGTAGTCCGACTTTAGGGGATCTGATGGGTCAGAAGTGTACCTTCAGCCTTTTACCTCACCCCGTAGCTGAATCGTTAGGATTTCGGAATTATTGTCTTTCTGAGAGTCTTGTACGGCTTGGCCCTAGGTGCTCTCAGTAGGATGTAATATGAGTAGTTACGTAGTATGTCTGTACCTTACTACTGCCTATTTTAGTTTTCTCACCATTTTTGATTAACACTGCCAAGTCTTCACCCAGGGAATTTACCTTAAGGTCCTCTGGAGTCTGTCGTCACATATGTATCACACGTTTCCAGGACAGAGGAAGAGGGGTAACTTAATCTAAAAAACTAGAGTCTTCAGTTTGAGTCCCAGTCACTTACAAATGGTAAGGCTGCGGTTTTATTACAGTTTTCTCAATACAGTTACATAAAACACTTTCAACTAAAGGAAAGTCTATGTGGTGCAAAATATATCAGTCACTGTAAGCTGTCTTCTGATAGCAGAAATGTCTCACAGGGTCTTCTATAAAAGAAGGGCAGTCCAGTCTCTAAACTGGAAAAAAGGCCATTAGTCAGCTTTCGCTGTGAGTTTTATTCTTCTTTTTTTTGTTATGCTGTCTTCTGATGGCAGAAGGGTCTTCCAGTCACCCCTCTCAGGGTGAAGACTCTAGTCACCCCTGAGGGTGAAGCCTGTTCTTTCAGTTTTGCAGCTGCTTTTATGCTTATCTGAGGCTGGAACCTCCCCCAAAATAATGCGTCACTCACACGAGTCATCCTTTTTGTAGGTCAACTTACAGGATGTAAGAATTATACAAAGTTTGAGTGACTATTTTACATAAAGTGTCTGCAGTTTATATGTTAAATCACTTCTATCATGAAATAAAACAGTTTATATGTTTCAACAGTTATACTTTTAAATCAAACAGGTTACAGGTTGTAATAGTTATGCTTTCATATTTTTCTACAATCGCCAACTTTGGTGGTTAACTCTCTTTCATTGTTTGACAAACTATGACACCAACTGTGTGTGCACACTTACATACGTCATCATTGTTACAAAGTTTAAAAGGGTCTATAATAGTAACAGTTTTTCTCAGGTGAAGTTGGACAAAATAAATATTTTGCACGTTATCATTCTTCGCTGACCATGGTGATCTCATCTTGGAGGTCAGTACCAGGCTCAGTCCAGGAGCTGACTGTGTAATGAAATGCTGTCTTGGTTAAAAAGGCACTGAATACGCGCAGATTGTGATCGCAAACACAATTGAAACCGCAACAGCGTTTTAAATATGACCCATGGTGATTGTTGTGCAGAATGGGGTCATCGGCTACTGTGTCAGGTTGAGAATCCTCAACTAGCATAGGATGCTGCTGGGCCTTTTGTGATATTAGAATCAATGTTGGTCTCCTTCTTCAGGTCCTGTGAGGCTTCGAATCTCTCAGAATCTTCATTATTTATTTTGTTTTTTGATATGATCCACAGATGGTCTAATTCTTACACTGTTTTCTATCAGGTGTTGAATGTGAATCTATCTGAGGGAGACAAGGTGGTGTTTGAAGATGTGGGCCACAGAGAGAACACCATGCTGGCCAATGAGTCCATTCTGATGAGGGGGTTGGTAATAAGAAGCCACAGCAATCAGATCTCTATCCGCTTCCACAACCAGAGGTCTCAGGTTGGATCAGTGCTGCTCAGATACCAAGGTAAGTTTGTATTACATGAAAGATGATATTTAAATGATTTAATGTTTTTTTGCTCCCTTGACATTTTTGTAACTTTAAGTTGAATTCACATTTATCATGTAATAAACTGCTGTTAAATATCACTGTAGTGCCATACAAAGGAAGTAGAATTATATAGCTGTATTGCCTGTAGCAGATTTGATAATTAATAAATCACATGTATCAAAATTTGTAATATTTAATTTAGAATTACGACTCATAAGCCCATGAAGTAACTGTATTTAACATTCTGAATATTAATATATCATCAAACACATAGTATCTGTGTAAAGATCTAGAGGAGTAACGGCTACCTGAGCAGAGAATGAAGTCTCTCTCCCTCTGTGTGTTGATACCAGAGCTTCTCTTTGCTTTGCTGACATAGCCGGGCCGGCCGCATGCCTTTGAGTGCATGTGAGCATCCCAGACTGATAAGCTCATGGCCGCCACTCTGCACTGCTCTCATATGGAGGTTACAGCTGTTCACTTTGTCCCGACCAACAGCGTCATCGAAGCAATGACGCCCTTCATTTCCCACCCAGTTAAACACTGTAAACTCTGTCAGCACTTTTGCAGTTAGCTGCCGGCTTGCTGTCGCCATGTTGAGAGCTGTTGAGAGGCAATCAAAATTAATTGAATTTGTAATTTTGAATTTTTCAATTACATTAATAAGCACATTTGCACTGATTTATTGATCAGCCCGGTATGAACTATATAAGTTAAAGCTCCCACACATTGAGCTAAAACTCTCCACAGATATAGTCTACAGAAATACTCTATGAGCTAGCCTTCCCTGCCCAGCTTTTTGTCTGAAATACTAAAAGATTAGGTTGTTGATCAATGCATTCAATGTTGTGGATTGCGATGGCTTAAGCAGTACATGTGTTGGCTGAGATAGGATTTATCACAGTTGGGTTGCTGTTGCAACTTATTGTTCCAAGGCAGAGAAAGGAAAGTGCAGGCCAGGCAGCAGTGGAGGGGAATGGCACCATCGATATATGTGATTGTATTCATGGTTGAACATGCTCACACTCACCATCATCAATTTACAATATGTCACTTCTGACATGCATATAAAGGCAGGCAGCATAACAAATATTGCATAACTCAGTGTTGAAGGCGATATGCCATGTCACCCAGGAAAGTCATTTTTCCATGTCATTTATATATACAAAAATGATTATGTTGGCCTACATACCGCCATATAACATGTTGGATCCAAAGATGTATCTGATGGATTAAAATGTTATTGTCTCAAAAATGAACAGATAATGAGGTGACTTTTGCTGATTTAGTCACTAACCACAAATTCGTATGATTATGTGATACTGGTTGGGTAATAATTTAAGATTCTGTTATCAATCATGGGCAGGTTAATTCAAAGTGAGACTATATAATAATAATAATAATACATTTTATTTATAGAGCGCTTTTCAGAGTTTTCAAAGACACTTTACATTAAAATCATCATATATAAAAGCTATACACTAAAAACATAAAACACACAATAATGGTCACACATTAAAAGCAGTTTTGAAAAGGTGGGTTTTGATTTGGGATTTGAACATGGAAAGGTCAGTGCAGTCTCGGATGTGTTTGGGGAGAGAGTTCCAGAGGGAGGGGGCTCTGTTGCCCCATGTCCGGTGCTTGGTCCTCAGTGGAAGGGACAGGAGGTTGGCATCAGAGGAGCGGAGCCGACGGGATGGAGTGTGGTAGTGAAGCAGGTTGGTGAGGTAGGAGGGGGCCTGATTATGGAGGGCTTTGTGAGTGAGGAGAAGGATTTTATATTGGATCTGTTGTGGGACGGGGAGCCAGTGGAGGTTCTGGAGAACAGGGATGATGTGGTCACGGGAGCGGGAGTGGGTGAGCAGGCGAGCAGCAGAGTTCTGGATGTACTGGAGTTTATTTAGGATTTTGAATGATGTGCCATGAAGAATACTGTTGCAGTAGTTGATTCTGGAAGTGATGAAAGCGTGGATCAGAGTTTCAGCAGCAGATAAGGAGAGTGATGGGCGGAGACGGGCCATGTTTTTTTTAAGTGAAAAAAGGCAGTTCTGGTGATTTGTTTGACGTGGTGTTCAAAGGAGAGGTTGCTGTTGAACATGACTCCGAGGTTGTGGATGTGTGGGGAGGGAGACAGAGTGGAGTTGTCGATGGTGAGGCAGAAGTTGTGACCGGTTTAGTGAGGGATTTGGGACCGATGATGATCATGTCAGATTTATCACAGTTGAGTTTGAGGTTTGCATCCATGATTTAATGTCAGTGAGGCAATTGGTCAGAGTGGAGTGAGTGGCAGTGGTAATGGCCTTTGTGGAGATGTAGAGCTGGACATCATCGGCGTAGCAGTGAAAGTGAAGACCATGGTGACGTATGATGTTACCAAGAGGGAGCAAGTAGAGGATGAACAGAAGAGGACCAAGCACCGAACCCTGGGGGATGCCTTGAGACAGAGGAGCAGTGGAGGAGGTGCAGTTGTTGATGCTGATGAACTGTTGTCTGTTTGTAAGATATGATTTAATCCAGAAGAGAGCAGTTCCGGTGATATTGAGGGAGGGTTCGAGGCAGGAGAGAAGGATGTTGTGGTTGATGGTGTCAAAAGCTGCAGTGAGCTTGAGGAGGATGAGAATGTTGAGGTGAACACCGTCTGAGGAGAGGAGGAGGTCGTTGGTGACTTTGAGGAGGGCTATTTCAGTGCTGTGCTGTGAGCGGAAACCGGATTGAAATGGCTCGAACAGCTCATTGGAGATGAGGTGGGCTTTGAGTTGTGTGCCGACAACGCCACACAACTCAACTTTCAAAAGAGTAGCAACTCAAACTTCTGCTAATTAAACACTTTATAATAAGGATGAAAGGAAAGGCACAAGGTCAAAGGGGTTTTATTTAGTCTTTCATTTATTCAGAGGTTTGTTTTGGGCTTAACATGAATTAAACCAATCAGAGTGTTGTCTCCCATTCCCTTTAGCCTGCACCGGTGCAATGCTATTTAAGTGTTCAAAGTGAAAGCTTAGCGGACCCTCTGCCTCCGCCCTCTCCCTCTCCTCTGTCCCATCAACTACTCCATTTGACTGCAAATGAGCAAAAGCACCAATAACCTATTTCACTGAGGAGAAGGTGCTCTGTTTGTGTAACAAGTGTACAAGCATAGTGAACTCGCCTATGTAGGCACATCTTACTATCTGAAAAATGTGCCCTTTAAATAGTAGGAAAATACTGCATCATTGACTTTAGACCAGGTTTTTGTTGGTTAATGGCTCAATCGCTTTCTGCTGCCTCAAGATAGCAATGTGCCAACAATGCTCCTGACTGTGCCTCATATTAAAACTAGTGCTGGGCAAGTTAACGCATTATTATCGCGTTACGCATTAATTAATTAACGCCAACAATTATTTTATCGCGCGTTAACGCAGTTTTTTAAAATGTATTATTAAGCGGACATTTTTAACACAAGAACCAGGCGGCCGACCGGTCTGCAGCAAGCGGTGACCAGCTGTTTGTGTGGCATCTCTTCCGTCTCTTCCTGTTTCCTTCACCTACATTCCCCTGGGTCCTAAGTCCCTCCATGTACAGCTTCTTATCACCCTCTATGTACCAACGTACATTTATAACAAATACCACACATATTACGGTAATCAGCGTTGCATATGTGTCTGACCAAAATACCAAAAAAAGCAATGATTCATTTAAATAATTTTTTTAGAGTTTTTAAAGTGTTTTTGTTTGGAATATGTATAATAAGCATATAATTTAGTTATTGCTACTGAGAATTTAACAAACGTGAAGAAAAAAACATGACGTAGATAGGTTTGCAGTTTTCAAGGTGTATATTTCAAATTGCATCTCTTACACACATGAAGATAAAGTTGTGAACACGGGCTGAATATCTATTATCAGAATCATAACTATATTTCAACTACTGTGTAAAGGGAATAGGCTACTGCTGTTAAAAAGCACCTGATTTGTTTAAAGTGTTTGCAAACCAAATGTTATTGCACTTTTGTTCATATAGCAGTACTCTTAAAATAAAAGTGCGCAATACACTACTTTTGAATTAATTATTGAATTTTGCGCATAATGCGATTAATCGCAAAACAATCATGCGATTAAAAATTGTAATCGTTGCCCAGCACTAATTATAACCAACACGGCAATGTGCGCACGGATGGTACACCAAGTACATGTTCTACATAAACGTGTGCTGTGCGCAGCGCTGTAAGATCGTTGTGAGATGGAGGCCAAGCATGGAGCAGCGCAAGAGTGCAGACCCAGCTGTATATAGTTAGATGTAAAATGCACACTTGATGAGCTGTTTGAAATGTCTTTGTTTACAGTAAAAAAATGTATTGATTATTATAAGAATAAAATATTTCAGGTTTTGTGACAATTGTTATTATTACTATTACTATTATCACCATTATTATAATTATTAGGGGGCATCACCCTGTACAATTGTTATGGACAAGTTGAGAGCAAACAGTTGCTCATTCACAAATCCAGCAGACATTGAGCGACATTAGCAATCCTCTATTTCTTTCTTCTTCTGCTTCTGTCCACCTGGTGAATGTCAGTCCAATGTTCACTCTCCTTTTAGCTCTGTATTTGTCCATACCAACTACTGGGAAATGTTGGTATGAGTCTCTTCAGCTGCTTAATGCTCCAAAATATTCACCAGCTAGTCTAACTGTTTGCTGCTGTTTGCTGTTGAGCAGGTAGAGTACAGTGGCTGTGTCACTGGAAAAAGCTGTTTGCTGCTGCTCGAAGTGAGGTTAATAAGAGTAAAGTTGTGGCCTAAAAACCTGAACAGTGAGCTGAAAGATGCTTGAGGGCTCCATAAAGCTGAAGAGAATGGCTCCCTCATGGATCAAACGTCTAACTGTTACCCCATAGATGTATCAAACTATACTACAGATCCATTAAAATGTGTAAAGACTGTTTCAGAGGATGGTCCAAACTGATAACAATAAAACTCTACTTGTCTTTCTTTG